AATATAATAAATATCACACATCTAACATGTTGTCTCCCAAGTGTAGCTAAATAATTGAGTCTCTGATCAGTGAGCAGAGAGAAAAAAGCCATGCATTGAGCATGCATCTAAGCAAAGAAATTGATCAATATTGCAAATAGTTGCCACCACTTGCATGCACAATACATGCATTGTTCATAGAGGTGTGCATGCATGCACTGTCCATTATGTTGGGTGGGACCTAGGATGGCATAATATAATTTAACAAATTACATATGAAATCTATTAAGTAAAAGAAGCTAAATTCTTAGATATTGAGACGCCTTTTGGTGTAATAGCCGCAGTTAAGCGTACTCATCTTGGAGAAATCCTGAAATGGGTGACCTACTCGGAAGTTACACTAACAAGACAACCGTGAGGCAAGCAATATCTCGATAGTTAAGAGTTTTGATTGTTACGTTATATTTATGGTATTATATTGTATTAAATTATAATTTTGTTTTGAAAGAAGCATGATTTATTTTACAAACTTCTTTGTGCAAGAGTTTATCATAGCCCCTCTTTCTCTCATTTGAGCCCTATTTATTGAATTAAAAAACTAATATTTTAACTTAAGTTATTCAAGTAATATAATTTTTAAAGTTAACCTTTTTTATTTGAGTCACATATATATGCCCATAATTTTTTTTAAAGGAACATGTAAATAACATGTCCAACACATGTCAGATGCATATCTAGCTAGTATTTGTGTTACAGAAGACACTGTTAATTATTATAAAATATTAGGACATCTTAATTTAGAATTCCATTTCGTATATTTTTATTCAATTCTTACAAATCTTTGTTGGGGTAGTGCTCAATACCTTATGAATCTTACAAGCGAGATTGTCAAAATCAGGTCACGGGTCGGGTTCGGGTCGAACCCAGAACTGACATGATATTAGTTGACCCGACCCGTTTTGCAAACTGTTTAGATATTTCAACCTGGACCTGACCAACGTGGGTTATCGGGTTGACTCGACCTGAGTCGCTGACACGACAGCGACGTCAGCTTAGCAACGCTGCCAGCGACGACAAACACAACAAGGGAAACGAGACGTGACAACGACGTGACTGGTGACTCACGCAAAGATACGTGACTAGACGAGACGAGAACTCGACGCTGGCAGACGATGGGCAGCGTGAATACTTGACGCAAGCAACGTGAGTAGAAGACAAATGTTTACCTGTGTCATTTCGGGTCATTTTTGGATTTCCGGGTCAACCCGAATCCTACCCATTTTTTTAAACGGGTTGATTTGTTGAACCTGAACCCGACCCATTTCACAAACAAGTTTACCCTAACATAAACTTTCTTGTCGGGTTCGAGTCTGATTTTCGATTCATGTAAAATATTGGCGTGCACACCTATATCTCGCAGGTAATCATGAGTCGAAAATCAGCTATAGGAGTATATATATATATATAATATTTCTGATTGCACCCAACCGATCAAGAGAAAAGACTCTCAAGTTTTTTTTCTCAGCGAACATTATGGTATCATACATATAATACCTAATTACACAGATATGTTATAAATAAACATAAAGGCCTGTGAAAGAAACTGTTGACATGTGAAGTTTGTTTGGTATTCAAGAAGCAGCTCAGTGCTTTGGAGGGGGCCTCAGTGGATTGCAGTATCCTCAGAACTACCCTACTGTGATTGGCAATAAGTAGACTAGATTCATGTCAGATGCTTTCATGCATTGGATTAATGGAGGATAAGTAAAAAATATTGAATGAATATCTTTCATCTATTTAATAAATAAAACCTTACTTTTCCTTATCATTATTCCAATAAAAATACTTTTTGATTTCTCTTTCATGCATCCATATTCATTTACATGCATTTGAAGATTTTAAAATATCTTAAGCTTTGTTTGGGGCACCTTTTTTACTGCTTCATAAATAGTTTTATAGTAATAATTTTTTTTTTTTAATTCAAAAAATTTGTACTAAAAAGCTACTTAGAAAAACAATAAGAAAGTTGTTCCAAACGGAGTTTTGATACGGCTTTCTTACTTCTTTTTAAAGCTGTTTTCTAGTATAAAATTTTTAATTTTTATATTAAAAAGTTGTCTCAAACAAAACCTTAATCTTATGAGACTTACAAGCAAAGAATAATCATATGTTTTATTCATTAATGAAAACTTATTTTCTTAATCTTCCTTTTGTTTTCAATATCATATTTATTTTTCTTACTAGTTTGAGCACTTATAATTGTTATTTTATTTCTATAAAGTTAGATAAATAATTTTCAATATATATTTCTTCATTTTTTATATATTTTTATTTAATTTTCTCAAATTATATATATATATATACTATTTAAATATTCTTTCTGAGGAAACACTGATAATTTCAATGTAATATATATTTTACTCATTGCATATGCATATATTAAGAGAAGTTTTTTTAATATTATGCAACCTATCAATCAAAAAAGTATATATTAAAAAATTAAAATAAATTTATTACCTATAAAATAAAAAAAATAAATCAAATAAAAATAAAACAAATTCCTTAATTGTGAATTCATAAACCATGCATACAAATCCTGCATTAAATTTTTTTTTTCAGCTTCTCATCAAAATACTCCTTTAGATTATGAAAATAAATCATTTTTATTTATATTTTAAAAATAGAAACAATATTAACTTTATAATCTGTCTGATCACCTAGCAGGAAATCCCAAGCCTGGATGGGCTGATGGGCCAAGGGAAAAGCCTTCCTACTCATATCAATTTATTTTACTCTGAGGTGGACATTATGTTAAGGGCCGAGAGCATGGGCCACCTACTTACACCATTGAGTCCAAAAGAAAGAGAGAGATAGCACCGGCCTTTCTTCTCTCATACTTTCAAACTCAATTATACCATGTGGTGCAAGAGCTTGGGCCGTGGGCCTCCAGATTAAGGATATCACTTATTCAACTGAAAGAGAATGAATTCTTCCTGCAAGCCCTTTATTTGGATTTTTTATTCGGTCCTTTGTCTCGACGTAGCTCTACGTTTGGACGCTAGTAAAATGGTGCCACGTGCTCTTACTTTTTACCTCGTGGCCCGACGACCTGACCCGTACCGGACCTGGGATTGTTATGTATTAGCTGATTTGTGCAAACCGGGGTATTGCTAGGTATTGCTCGATATTGCTCGGCAATAACGAGAAATATCATTATGTCAAGAGCAATACCGAGCAATACCCCAGTTTTGCTATGTATTGCTCGGTATTGTTAGATATTGGTCTTGACAGAGCAGTATTTCTTGTTATTGTCAAGCAATACCTAGCAATACCCGAACATAGCAATACCGGGTTCCGGTTCGGGTCGGGCGTCGGGCCGCGCGGTAAAGTGTAAGAGGATGCGGCGACAGGTTATTGGCCTCCGGATGTAGAGCTACGTCCGGTATCCAAACCTAATAATTGTTCCTTTATTTGACTCTCGACCATATATTTTATATCTCAAAAGACAAGAAGGAAATGTGGGTGAAAAATGATTAAGAGGATAACGCTAAGAGCAAAGCAATCAATTGCTCCTTCTTGTTATTTAATGAAATTTTATTTCGCATAAATATCTCTATTAAATAATAAAAAATAGAAATAAATTAAAAAATAAATATAAAAAACACATACAAAAACGATTAAAAAATATAAAACATGATGGCCTTAATAGCATCGGTCGATGACCGTCAATGGTGGCATGTGATCGATGATAATTACCAGTGACAGGTAGCATCACTTTCTTAATGTATTTGGAATTCATCAAAAAAAAAAAAAATTCTAATTATATTCAGTATGATTATTTAAAAAAGATTATCTTGCATTTGTCTTTCTTTCAACAAAGCACCTGAAAATTCTAATTCCTTATATTTAATTTAGTGAAATTAATTCAATCCTATGGTGCAGTATGAATTTCTCCAATGGTACGCTAGCCACATCATAATTTTGGTGTTTGGCCAACTGAATTCTCTCTTCTAGAACATGTATTTCAAATCAAATTTTGAAGGTCTCATAACTCTTATAAACATTCTATGGATATATAAGAGTGGAGGCATTTAAGCATTTTAGTATACATATATACACACATGAGGGAGAAACTATTCTGTGCGAAGTTCAGAAGGAGAAACATACTATATTTAAATTTATTCATTGTGTATATCAATTTTTTATACACACTGTTTGTTCTTCTCATGGAGACTCCTGAGTCCCGACAAAATAAATTCTCTATATTAGTAGACATATAAAGCCAAATTTCAATTGTGTTATGGTCTTATGGTGCCCTTAATTAGGTGTGTCAATTCGGGTTAACGGTCGGGTTCAGATTCAACCTAAATTGACTCGGGCATAAACGGGTTGACCCAAACTCGACCCATTTAACTAAATGGGTTCGAAAATCTAACCCGGACCTGATCTACAAGGGTTTCCAGTTTGACCCGACTCGACCCGACCAGCGAACCTGCAGGCACAGTGGAAGTCGGAAGTCAGAGTCGGACGTCGCTGATACGACAAGCGAAAGTCAGAAGCAGACATGGAACCACCCCATCCAGCCACGCCACTGCACCAGACAACAAACGTGGATGCTCCGACTCCACGCGGGATCAGAATCGGACTCGAGTGCAGATCTATGGCTCGCGTGTCAACTCGGGTTGATTTCAAGTTGTCGGGTCAGCCCGAACCAAACCGACTGTAAGAATGGATTGAAAACTCAAACTGGAATCCGACCCGTATAACAAAAGGGTTGATATGAATTCGAATTTTTCGAATTAGACTCGGGTCGAATTTTTGGTCAGGTCAAGTTTGCACACTCCTACCATTAATTCAACGCCCCGAAGTCCACAGGCGGCTTCCATCTTACGCTTCCCTTAGCTACTTTATTCCGTCCTCCATCGAAAGTCAAAACACCATCGCCTTCTCTGATCTCTCCGTTACTCTCGAGTGCAGTCTTCTCTCTATTACTCTACCTTTCAATCTTCTCCGGAGTTCCAATGGGTGACCTCCACCCGCTAGAACCGCCGGAAAATGGTGGCCCACCGACCCCTTTACATCCGGCTCAAGAAACCCTCATCCCTTCCTCAACCTCCAAACGGCAGCGCCGACCCAGCGTCCGCCTCGGTGAAATTGGAGACCAGCCCACGGCCTCAGCCTCATACGATCCTTCCTCTCGCCGCCCTAAGCTCTCCAAACCCCTCTCTACCTCCTCGACCCTTGTCGGGTCTAAACCCTCCACCAAACCTCGAGCCACCGCCCCGGCGTCCACGAGGCGGGCTCGGACGAACTGGAACTCTCGAATCGACAACGGATTCGATCCCGCAGTTGCTGATTTGAAGTCAAGCGGCGGGGAGGACGCTAGACATGATGAGTACGTGGAGGATTCCGAAAGTCCTTCGGACAGGAACGAACATCGGGCTTCTTTCAGGGTTAGGGTTTCCAACGGAGGGGACGAGCCCTCGGAGGGATGCAAAGGGTGGGCGGGAGGGGTACGGTCGTTTCTCGAGGGGTTAGGGCTTGGACAATACACGCCTGTTTTTGAGATACACGAGGTAAATGATGAGGTACTGCCGATGCTGACGCTGGAGGATCTTAGGGATATGGGGATCAATGCGGTCGGGTCGAGAAGGAAGATGTACTGCGCGATCCAGAAGCTCAACAGGAGCAGGGACTCATGAGAAAGGTTTGTTTTTCAACAAGAAAGGAAGAACTATACTGCCTTGGTTTGTTTGATGATCTCAAGCTAGGTGATATGATTAATTTGACTGCCATATGTAATTTCTTGCTTCTTGGTTGTATAGTGTTTTTTGTATAATTAAGAACTAGTGTGGCGAAAGTTTTGTCAAAGGATGTTCTTGTTGCATATGAATGTAATATGAACAACTTGTATTGAATTGTTGACAATATCAAATATGATAGTAATGGTAAGCAAGGAAAGTTGCTTGTTTTGCTAATCATAATTAATGGTGCCATCTGGTCTTTTTTTTTCCTCCCTTCAAGCATTTAGCTTTCCTTGAACCATGCTTCTGCAACATTGGTCCAATAATCTGATTGTTAAGGCTAAAATGACAAGTTTTTTCTTTGTTGCCTATCATTTGTGTCATTGATTGTTCTGAATGTTGCCCAGTTAGGTTTGCTTTTCAAAATATTTATATTTTATGTCATAGGCGGCTTTATTGAGTAATGAAGTTATGCAATTTATCCTTTTCTGTGATGGTTTGGGTTGTGGATGTGTGTTGTATTGAAATTTTAGGTTGCCTTTTCTCAAAAAAATTTACCATTGGTAGCTCATGCAAATTCTTTATTCCTTGTATATTTGACTTTAGCTATTCAAAAGAAGCGAAGCTTTTAATCTGGCATGTATTTATAGACGCTCAACGGCATCCACCAACGGTTTATCATGATATCCATGAAAATTTTCTTGTTCTATTTGATAACTTGTTTGTATGTTTCTCTTATTAGATGCATATTAATTTTAATTTTGTGGTTATGACTACTATGTTTTTTTCTTTTGTAAGTCATGTGGTTTCCCAGGAGGTATTTTAATGTATCCTATGTAAAGGCATTTAATTAATAAGCCTTGTTAGGCGTACCCTTTTTAAATGTTGGGTTGCAAATTAAGCTAAGAGTAGTTTGCTTGTCAAGTTAGTCATAGTGAAAGTAGTTTTTATGTTGGTTTTGAGTACAGGCGTATCACCTCATTGCGGAACAAAGCCAAATCTGATACATCTACTTTCATAATCGGTTCATTTGAAGGCCGATGTTTTATGTGAACAAACCGTCTTCCGCAGGAGCTTACTCCAACCTTTTCACGTATATGCTCATTTATCATGTCTCTAAGAGTAAAACCACTCATCCACCTAAGGGCATCTCCAACCGAAAACTTCATTTTTCACGGCAAAGTAACGCAAAACTCCAAAATGGCGCGGTGATGCTCCAATCGAACGCCATTTTAGGTGTTTTTGAGAAGATAACGATCGCTTTCCCTTTCGCGCGTTTTTCCAGTTGAGAGCAAAAAAATGGCGTGAGTGAACAGTGCGACGCCAATATTGGCGTCGCACTGTTCACCTGCGATTAAATGACGGAAATTTTCGCGTTCGGTTGGAGCGACGGAACGACTCCATACACTCGTTTAGCGTTCGGTTGGAGATGACCTAAGCATCCTCATCTCTGTAACACTTAATATTATGCATCTCTTTTAATGGCCAACATTGTTCATCATAAATCATTGCAGGAATCACCACCATTTTATAGAATTTTCTCTTAAGTTTGAGTGGGGATTGTGATAGGACTACCATGAGACAAAAATCTTTATTTTAACGAAACTTATTATGTTTGATTGTTAGAACAGTTGTGCTCCAATTTAATTTGCTGATTTTGGCTTGACATAATAAGCCTATATGCATTGATGTTTTTGGTGCTTAACATTCCTTCTTGCTACTTTTGGCTATAATTTTGGAATGACGATGATTGCTCATTGATCCAAAACTACTCGAGATCCTCATAATAAGATCTTTCGACAGAGGTTAGGAGAGCTTAATAATATGGTTTTTAAATGTGGCGTTCAAGACTTATCCTCTACTGGGCTGTTTTACACATGGTACAATCAAAGGGTGGACTCTCCGATTCACATAAAACTTGATATAATTCTAGTTAATTCTGCTCTTCTGGATTATCTGCCCCTGGCTTACTACAGAGTTGTGCCTCCTACTGGTTCGGACCACTCCCCTATAATTTTCATTGCTTCTCATGACAAACCTATTGCTGCTAGGTTCAAATTCAAAAATTATTGGACTAATATGGAAGGTTTCTGGGATGATGTGTTCTCTGCTTTTTCTGCCAATTCTTCCCGAAGTCCTTTGGCTGCGTTCTCTCACAGCCTGCAATGCCTCAAAAGATCTCTTAAGAAGAGGAATTGGGCCTCTTCCAACTTTCTTTCCTGCACTATCATGGATCTTAAAGCTAAACAACACTCCTGTTTGCTTGAGCTCCAAAACCAGCCTTTGGATATCAACCTCAACAGCAACCTTAAAAGCATTAATGATGATCTTGCTGCTTTACAAACTCACTGGTCCTCTTGGATCACTCAAAGAGCTAAAACCTCTTGGCTTCTTCATGGTGAAGATGACTTAGGATTTCTTTTTGCTAAGATTAGGCAAAGAAGCAACAAGAACTGTATCAAAGAAATTACCACTGATGAGGGTCATTTTACCTCACATTCCGAGGTTTCTAGGGCCATTGTCAACCATTTTCAAAATCTCTACAACCCTCCCTTTACCCCCCCGGTTACTCCTCACATTCACCCTGGCAAGATGGTTCCTCCTCACATGTGCCCTTTGTTGGTTAACCCGGTCTCCCTTGAGGAGGTGAGAGTTCCGGAAAACCATAGCCACCTGTTCTTTGACTGTGAGTTCTCCTTCACTATTCTGGCTAGGTTGTTGCCGGAGCTCAATTGCTTCTTATTGAGGCCCACTTTATTGCAAATTTTTGATTTCTTTGAACTCTCGGCAACTTATCATAGGCAGGAAAAAGATTTTTGCTGTCTTATTGTTAGCTGCACCATTTACCACCTTTGGAGAGAACGTAACTCTAGACGGTTCTCTAATGAAATCATGAATTCTGTCAAAATCATTAACAATATATCGGCTGCTATAAGATTAAAGGTTTCAAAATGGAAAAACAAAGAGAAGCTGCTGGGAAGATTTTTTGGTTTTTAAGCCTTGCTGCGTTGCTGTGTTTTTTGGATTACTTTGGGTATACTGTCATTAATGGAAGCATTCTTTTGTCTCTGCATTGGTGTGGGATATTTGGGTATACAAAATTTCTTGGGGTCTCAGGCTTTTCACCCCAGTTTTGTTTAAATTTGGTATACTTACTTCTCGGGGCTATATTTTTTGGGGGTCGTGGCTGCCCCGCTTCTCTTGATCCTCCCAGGTGGTTTTTTGCATACACTCGGACTGACTTGCTGTATCCAGATGGTGTGTTATTACAAACAGACAATGATGACCAAGATCACCCCTTCTCTGGCCATGGAGGGTCTTTCTTTGGCAACCTGGCTGGAATTCAATTCGACTATTATCGGCAGGAGGTTCTGCGATGGCCTTATTCGATCCTGCTGTCTTTTTTCTCTCGTCCGCAGGCAACCTGAGCCTTCTGTGCGATTTCGTGTGCCTATTGCTGATGCTATGATGTTCATGGGGTTCGGTCTTTTCCTTTCTGAGTCTTAATGTTTGTAATTTCCACCATCTGCCTCTCTGTTTTTTGGGTTCGATGGTTGGATCTCTTTTTGTTAGCCACGTTTTTCTCTTTCTTTTTCTGATTCTCTTGTAATTTTTGTTCCATCTAATATACGGGCTTCCTGCCCCGGGTTTACCCAAAAAAAAAGATCTTTCGACAGAGCACTAAACAATTTGGTAGCTTAGAGAAAAGAAACCAATCTTATTTTCTGTGATTTTCTAAATGGTTTCGTTTGAATAGGCAAGTTCTGTTCATATATGATGACTTGGGCTTAGACCACATCTAACTTGTGGTGGTTGCACGCGTAGAGACTGAGTGAGAAACAAATGTTTGAAATTATCTTGTCGATCATGACTCTGTAGAAACTTACATCATAAGAAGAATCACTTTCTCTTGAGTTTCTCGAGGGAGGGAAGAGCAGAGGGAGAGAGATAAACTCAAAATCTTTGTTTCTTAATCATACTATTACAGTCTATAGAACCTCTATTTATATATATATATCAAGCTACACAAAGTATGGGAATTCATGGAGTATTGATTTTGTCGACCCTTATTTTATTGCTTTTTAAGAGGCGCCATTTGGCGGTGATTTATCGTGCTTGTTCTCCACTACTACAAAGTATGGCATCGGAATTGCTAGCGCAAGTTTCTTGTTGCCAAAAAAATAAAAAATTTAAGCACACCCTATTTCACCAAGTAACTTAAGAGCAAGATGTCAAAATAACTCTTTAATACATTGAAAATTGAGTATTTGTGCACATTCATTTTTGCCTTCTTTTTGAATTCATACTATACTCAAGGAGAGATTAATTTATGGGACATTGAGTGAGATGTATTAATTAATTATAATGGATGATATTAGAATGCTTGAAGTTGTTAAGCTCACTCTTGTTTAGTTAACTTTGAAATTTCTTTTCTTGATAATGGTGAACTGGTGCCATTGGAGTGCGAATGGGAGCTTCATGAATGCATGGTAAATATACTCGTATCTTGTGTGTTTATCTGAAGAGAGCATTGTTACTATTTTTTTTTTTTTAAATATAGATTGGTATTTATATATTTAATGATTAATGAATGTTAATGCTGGTGTACTATTAATTCTCTTGATTGAAATTTGAAAATTAGTTAAATTTTTTAATGTTTATTTTTCTTTTGTATGGGAAATATATGATATTTGGTTACATTATTTCATATTTTTTAATTAAAAATATATTTATATTTATATATTTTATATAAAAGGTTATATAGTATGTCCATAACATATATAGAGAAGCAACTTAGTTATTAATATATTTATATATTGTATATAAAAGGGTAATAAGATTATTATATTCAACTAGTGAAAGTGAAGTAAGAATATGGGAAAATTCTAAGAATTTCTTACGAGCTTTTATGGCCTCAATTGCATTTGATTTTAATTCATACATACCTTTAGTTCATTTTCATATCAAATATGAGTGGTAGAAATGAATTATGTGATTGATAGGAAAGAAATATAAGTGTTATATTTGATATTAAAATAATATAGGATGGTATGCATATAATATTAAAATTTTGGGTGTTTGATATGTAAATAGAAAGTTATAAAGTAGTATGTATGTAAATTTCCCTTGATTTTAAGCATTGCAAAGGCTAGAAGTAATAGCCATTTATTTTCTAAAAAATCCCTTAAATATATAGTCCAAATCAAATTGCTTCAATTCAAAATCATAATACATACATGACATTAAGCAATTATTCCTCTCAAGCTAGCAATAATTCAAGAAAAATGAGAGCACATCGATGTAACAGAAAAGTGGTTCTATTGAGCCTGAGAACAAATTATAAGAAAAAAAAAACTTGACTTCCACTATTTTCCAAAATAAGTCTTTAACCATGAAGAGTCAAAGAAGCTGAACACAGGAAACCAAGTGCAGGCTTATTACAGCAAATCTTTACTAAGAACTGTACAATGAAGAAAATCCTTACTAGTAATATAGATTATAAGTTGACACAAATAAGAAACAAAATAGTGCTTCCAGTTATAAACTAAACGTAAAGTTTCCAATATTCCATTTGCCATTTCATGCCTAGGATCAGTTTCAAGAAAGTTCTTCACTCCAGTTTCTTCTGAATCTTGTCAGTAAGGTGCTTCTGAGGTTCTACTGGGAAGTACTTGATTCCCACAAGATCACCTACTTTGCTAATGACCTGAAATGATGTAAATTGGCTTAGTATATATAAAATGGTTTATGTAAATAAAATGTAGAAATATATGAAGGAGAAGAGCTTACCTCCAATGCTTTTATCATGTCTTCTCTAGTATGTGAAGCAGATATGCAAATACGGGCTCTTGCTAGAAGAAGTGGAGTAGCAGGGAATGCCACAGTGACAACAGCAAGCTGTTATTTTCATGAAATTTTGAATTTAGCATCAACTTCAAAAATTTATATATATATATATATATATATATATATATAATATATATATAGTATAATGACAAGTGTTATCGGGCATTGGCAACAGTGCGAAATACAGGTGCGGCCCAGAGCGTTTGAGAGCTTTCTTTCTTCACTTCGTGAGGCTTCGTTTGGGACGGACTTTTCTTACTGCTTCTTAAAGCAGCCTTTTAGTAAAAAATGAAGTTTTTTTAACTAAAAAGTTATTTTAAGAAATAGCAAGAAAGCTATCCCAAAGGAAGCCTACATATACAAATTTGTACGCACTAACCCACTAAGGAGATTAATTCCTTTTTTAACTTTCTGCATTCTTTTCCAATTTTTAAGGTTATATCAAAACAAGTTGATGTAGACAATATAGTTTATAGGTTAAAATAGTTCTGGTTCTACAAGGTATTAGGGAATTTTTTAACTGGTGAAAACAACCACATATGATGCATTGAAGCAAATATGGGGCATTGAACTCAGGACAAAACAAATATAAGTCACATCTATTATTAAAAATATAGAACATGAACAAGAATCAAACTAATATTTTTTATAAATTAAATAAACATTAAATGCAAAAAAACTAATTCATATAGTGATAAAATTTACTGGTTCACAAAAGAAAAAAAAAATTATAAAAAGGCTATTTAAGCAAATTGGTTTTATATTAGCATTTCAACTTTTAATGGTCACCATGAAATTTTAAGCTTTCCAAAGAAGAACCGTTGTGAAACTCTTATGAGGTCAAAGATAAACAATAAAAAAAAACAGTCTGACTGAGAAAATGAAATAATAAAAAGAGCACTAAGCAGCTTTTGAAATATCATCAAGCATCATACTTACATTGCGCCTAAGACACTCCCTGGAGAATGCAGGGATCTTCGCCGGATTATAAAGCATTATGGGCATAACTGGTGAATCTTTATCCCCAAGAACTTCAAAACCCATCTTGTGAAGCTCTGACCTGAAGAAATTGCTATTGTCGCGAATTTGTGCAAGTTTCTGAGCTCCTATAATAGCCATTCAGCTCACACATAAGATAGTTCAAAGCTAACAAAATAAAGCAAATGCATTTAAAGGGTTCTTTGAATTACCTCTATTAGAACCATCTTCTCCAAGAACCACTTTAATAGCAGATATAACTTGCTGTGCTGCAGGTGGAGACATTGATGTTGCATAGAAATGGGCTGGGCAAGTGTTCTTTAGATGTTGGATAATTTCCTGCCAGACAAAAAGATGTTCAGACAACATTCTGCAACATGTAGTGCTTAAAGAAGGGAGATTATTCTGTGTGGACACCGGACGGGAGAACCGTCCGGTACCGCTTGGTATCGAGCGCAATACTGACACTCGGTACCGAGTGTGGTACACTTTTAAGGTGACGTGGTGTATTTTTATTGGTCTCTGGATGATGTCCGGACTCCACACAGAATAATTTGTCCTTAAAGAAATTATATATTAGAGAAATAATTATACCTTTGATGCTGCAATATAGCCACCACAAGATCCAAATGACTTTGTGAAAGTTCCCATCATGATATCCATATCAGCTGTGTCGACACCAAGAAGCTCACAAACACCTCTGCCAGATTTCCCAATTGCACCAATGCTGTGGGCCTCATCCAAGTACGTGTATGCCTAAGAGAAACATGGTCATTATGAGTTTCCATAATTATATTGACTCTATTAACGATTAACAATATGATAGTAACTTGAAGCTTTTGATTAGAAACTATTTCAGAATGCAAAGTTATGTTGGAAATTAAGCAAGTCCTAATTCAAAACAATGAGAACGAATTAAATGGAAACAAGATAAATGCACAAAACAAAAGCTAAATATACAAAATCACCCATTTGTTTCATAGCTATGACTTGTTGTAGCCGCTGCAGATTTCGCCATAATGGTGGGATTTTTGAGGAATTCACAAACTAATGTCTCAGGTGTATCACCTAACGAGGGCACCCTCCCTTTATCATGAAGGGAAAAAAAAAAAGCTAGGACACCAAAATTTTACAACAAAATAAAATGTTGATTTGTGAGGTTTCGTTTGGGACTGTTTTTTTTCTTCTTTTTAAAGTAGCTTTCTAGTGTAAAAATTTTGATTTTTATACTAAGAAGCTACTTTAAGAAGCAATAAAAAAGCCGACAAGCCGTCCCAAATGAAGCCTTAGTTTATGTAAATAATTTCTTCCATGAACAAAAATTAAGCTATACAATTTAATAGTTTAATTGTTTAATTGTATGCCTCATTTCTGAAAATGATGCTGAAATGATAAATGCAGAAACATGAGACAAGCATCGAAGGAATTGAGCTCATGGCTTTCCATTCTAACCTTGTATTTCTTGCAGACAGCTATTATCTCAGGGAGTTTGCAGAGTTCCCCTTCCATGCTATAGATTCCTTCAATAATGACAATTATCTTTTTCCAGGGTCTGTGCGTTCGAGGCTGCCCTTCAGCAATTTGTTCCCTGAGCACCTCTTCCAAGTGCGCTGCACCTGCAAGTAAAATAAGAAAGGGTTTCTTCAACACATGTTCATATAATGTGCGCAAAAGACCAAACACTCAGTACAATGACCATAAAACTTACTATTGTGTTGGAAAACCCGTACTGTTGCACCAGAGCCTCTAGCACCATTAACAATAGAGTTATGGTTCAATGAATCACTGATTATCAAGCCACCCTATATACAAGAATCAAATGCTTAATTTTGCCGGTAGAGCTCTCATATAACTACTTGTATTCAGCTGAACACATATCTTCTAAGGGCATCTCCAACCGAAAATCTCATTTTTCACTCCAAAATGCCGTGAAACAAAAAAATGTCATGATTCAGCTCCAATTGAACTCCATTTTGCCCCATTTTTGCGAAGGCAACGGTCGTTCTATTCTTTCGCGTGTTTCTTCGGCAAGTTCGATAGAGACAGAAAAATAGCGGAGATGAACAATACAACGCCAATATTGACGTCCCATTGTTCACCCGCAACCAAATAGCGGAAGTTTTACAGTTCGGCTGGAGCTCACGAGCGACGCCATACAAGCGTTTGGAGTTCGGTTGGAGATGCCCTAATTAGAGAGTAAGTACTTAAAGGAAATGGTGCTTACCTTCCCAATTAGAGCAGGGATAATAGCAGAATTCGTTGCATATCCCATTCCAAAGAGAATAGCAGCTGGCTTTCTAACAAATCTTGCAACTACTTCTTCTAGCTCAGCATGCAATTTAGTCGTACCTAAGCAAGAAAATTGGACTAAGTTAAACCCTAAGGTTCACATATTCTCATTTACTAAAAAAAAGAGGTAGAACACCTTTATACCTCCATCAACACGAGCACTGCAGGTACTCGGTGAGTATTGCTTCAGAGACTCGATAACACGGGGTGTGCAATACTCATCTGCTGCTGCAAAGCCAAGGTAATTATATGATCCAAGGTTAAGGCATTTATTGATTTTTGAGGTTCGGCTGCATTTAAGAAAACAGAATAAGCACAATAATCAGCAAAATCCGGAGCAAAATATATAGCATTTTGGCAAAAAAAAAAGGGGAGATTTACACAATACCACTTTATTTCATGTTATTTACATATCTAACACCTAAAACATTAATATTACATGTCTACCATCCATATACAACTTTAATATCAAATATAACACTCCTATAATTCATTTTTACCATTCATACCATTCTATAAATTTTAATATTTCATTCTATGCACCCAAATTTATTCAATGGGTGATAAGCATGTAATATTAATGTTTTGGATGTTAGATATATAAATAGAATGCTTATGCATGATGAGAATGAGGCAAATATTGATCATTACATAACATTTGCAAGACATCACATTGTGTTTAAGTTGTGGTTTTATCTGATGTAATGAGAAGTATAGTAAATCCTAGAGGAAAACAAATAGTCAAGACTCACTGAAGTGTCTTGTTACTGTCCTTTGAGTAACGTTCAACCACATCAATCCAAGCATCGGGTGCACTTGCAATTGGTCGATTAAAGCAGTCCTGCCAATCAATCATAGAACAAGTTCATGCCAACTAAAACTTGAACAAAGCTAGAAATAATTTTAAATACCTAATATACATTGGTCACCAAATTATTCTTACTGGCCAACACAGTTCAAATTTTCCATGGTTATTGAATACTTCGAAGTTATTCTCCCCACAAGTTTTAAGGGAATGTTTTAATTGCAAGTTTTAGCCAATTAAGGTAAACCTTTTATTGAGGGCCAAATTTTAAATAGGAGCATGTTACTTATTAAAATTAGGCATAGGAGCTGAGTCAGAGCTTATTTTGAGAAGGAGCTGAACCGATATTCGAATTTCCGGTTTTAAGAAATCATAAAATGAATTAAGGGTTTATTGAAACCGTGAAAACATTTTACAGTTTATTTACTTCAATAATTATGCTTAAATTTGATCCTAAGTGGAAAAAAAAAATGTATGTTAGGCTATTATCTTAAATGCAGATATTTCATGTAGACAACAAATTATTTGATGAGCATACTGCACAAATATTAAAAAATTTCATATAAAATCAAATCAAGATAAACAACATAAAAATTTATTTTAGCTCTGTCCACGAGACTCAATATGGCACCATGTGTGAACTAATTGTTGGTGGAACCATTTAATGTCTAAAGGAAAAGAGATTTGGATAAGAATACTATGGTCTAAAGTTATTTTTTTCAAAAAATATTTTTCCAATTTCTACGAAACCGTGAAAACATTTTTACGGTTTCTTAGAAACCAAAAAACGACCTTAAAATATTTTCACGGTTCAATAAACCGTTAATTCATTTAACGGTTTCTTAAAATTGTCGAATTCTGGTTCTGAAGCTCTGATGTAGCTTCTATGTCTAACTTCAATCAGTAATCTGGTCCTTATAAAAATTTGGCCTTTATTGAGTCACATAAATCTAGTCTTCTTAAATTATATTTCCCCCATTTTAGGCTAAAATTTGAATTTAGTAAATTCCAAGGAAAGCAAGATTTAAGAGATTTATATCACTTCTCCTCAATACACCTCTTTTTCTTGTCATTTGAATCTTAAATCTAAAAAAAAATCTATCATATTGCTTACTAGGGTTTAACCAAATTTCACATCTATCATGACAGAATATTTTCAGGATTTAAAGGTTCTAAGATTTACTAAGTCAAGATTTCAATGATTATTAAATCCTACTTGTACACAAACAGCCCCAAAACTTGTTTTCTCTTACTTACCAAAAAATATCAAGGCATGAAGACATGGGAATCAAGGAATGGAAAATTCAAAAATAGCTATTTTCCATTCCCAACTCTAAAATTCAACAATCTTTTCTACTCAAATCATTCAGAAAAGGACATTAAGGAAAAAATCAAAGGTTATCGCATCATAAAAAAGCACTGTTAGGTGTTCCTCTCATCCATCCGCAAAACATATTGACATCAAACTATGAAGAAAAGCAAACCCTCAAAAGTAATAACGAACAGAACAACAAAAAACCTAATAATTATAAAAAATTAAGGAAAAAAAGGAACCTGAATACGGAGATAGAGACGCCGAGTGTAGAAATCCTCAAGCCCCAAGCAGATCGGAGCGTAACCCTGTTCCAGAAACAACGTAGCCGATCTCAGAAGCTGGAAATCGAGAAGATTGAAAGAAAAAGCAAGGGACCCAGAATCCCAAAAAAGGAGGACAAAAGTACCTGAAGATTCTTGGATTTCCACAAATCGAGGATCTTCCGGAAGAAATCCCTCATCTGGCCGAAGGCAAAGAGGAGCCCATAGCTGAAAAGGGTTGTTAGGGCCGTCAGGTATGGTAATCTCACCATCCTCTACGCCGATGACCGGATCCGGAAGCTTCACAGTCTTTCCTACAGAGAGAAGAGCAAGCGAGGATAAGTTGGGCAGAGAAGAGAGGGAACTGGAAGGAAGGAAAGAGGTTGTGGCATTTAATAGGGTAGAAATTACTTCTTTATCTGAGAGAGAGAGAGAGAGAGAGAGAGAGAGAAGCAGAGAATTTGAACGTTGAATAGTTGAATGGTAGAAGATAGGAGGAATTTGTACGCGGTGCGCTGACCGGAGAAGCGTTCAATGGATTTTTGTGTCATCCAGTCTCCTTCTTCTCTCTTTCTCACACTTATTTTTACATTTATTTTTATATTACATTATATATATATAACTCAATTAAGATAATTCCGCTAATTTATATTATAAGTTATAAATGATACATTTTTATTATTATCTTTTGAGAGGAGTAGACCAGAGATCAAAAAGCCTCGTATAAATTTTAATTTGATGTTATGAGTTGGAGTTGATGTTCAATTGTTCAAAGTGTGCATCTGCTTTTTTGGCAATGTCATACGTCAAAGATATTTGTGATGGCGGACAATGTTTATCAGTGAATTGTAATATGACAATAGAGATTAAGAGACTATAGACGAGTAATGATAATTAAGAGATCATAGTAAGATGATGATCGAGAATTCGCATTCGGTTGAAGGTGGTTAAAAAATAGTAGTTTAAGTGATGGTGGTTGAAAAGACATAGTTGAGACCAATTATTCTGTGCAGACACAGAAATGAGGTCCAGAGACCAACCAGAATGTGTCACGTCAGCCCTTGTTTGGTACTGCTCGGGACCAAGGCTCGATACCACTGACGTGGCGCATTCTGATTGGTCTCCGGATGACATTTTGTGTATGATCTCCGCATAGAATAATTTCTCAATGACTGGACAACATTAGTCTAAAGATTATATTCTAGTGACATTGATGGATGATAGGGTTCAAGTGATAGACAATAGGTGTTTGGGAGATGATGATCTGATAACGATAGTCAAGTGATGGTGGACTAGTGACTGTACTCGGGCGACAACGATTGTTGAGGGTATCATTAGCATCAAAACGTCTGATGGAATTTCAGAGTTTTTCAGATCTCCAAGCTCTCTCAAATCTCAAATCAAGGTCCAAACCCCTTTCATAAGGAGAATGAGTTTATTTATAGTTTTTTTATGACTCATATTAATTCTCTTGATCATAAATAATTTTTTCAGCATCTAAGTATCGTAATGACTTAAAAATTGAGTATTCTTAGGCTCATTGAATTCCTCTCATCAAAATGCTCACCGAAACCATTCCAAGTGAGTAAAATATTGTCATGCATGCAGTTGACCAAAAATATTGTTATCGCATCTAAGTTTTCATTTTGGACAGCTTTCTAAGAAATTGTTATACTAGATAGCTGCTTTAAAAAACAGTAAGAAAGCTGCCTCAAACGAAGCCTAAGTCAAATACTACTATCCCAAACTTTGTTCACAGTCAAAATCAATCAAACTCTACAAAATTTGAACAGAGACCTCACAGCAAGCTCATGGAGACATTTTTAAAATAAAATATTCACATTCATTATTTATTTCCCTCCTCTATTGACATTATAGCATCCTTGTAAGTCTAAAACCCATCCCTCTTATTATTATAATTATAATACATAAAAAAGTCTGATATCAAATCCTTGATTTAGTCAAAAAAAAAAAAAAAAAAAAAATTTTAAAAAAAAAAAAAAAAAAAAAAAAACTGAAAAAGTCAATATTGAAGTTACAAAAAATGTAAGAATTTCTTCCTCTGTATTAAATCTAACTAACTATTTTTTTGACTTATTTGTTTCATCATTTGATTTGTTTTGGTGCATCATTATTATGAGATTACTGACTAATTATGATTAATTATAATTAGGATATAGATCTCTGACTTTTAAATTTCATAAACCTCTCAAATAAAATGGTTTCATTTTTACACACAAAACAAACTAATGAGGGGCTGTTTTGATTTCTTGAACTTAGAGAAATATTTTCAAAATGATAGAAATTATTAGATTCATTATTTAATAATGAATTCAAATTAATTTTAAATTATATTAACTCTCTAAATCTAATCATTTGATATCTTGAATATATTAATCATTGAATGGAACTCAGGCTTTGTTTGGGGCGGCTTTCTTGATGCTTCTTAAAATAACTTTTTAGGACAAAATTTTTAATTTTTATACTAAAAGTTATTTTGAGAAGCAGTAAGAAAGCTGCCCCAAACAAGGTCTTAGTTAGCAATCAATATTGAATATGAACTCTATAAACACCCTTATATATGTATATATTTTCATATGATATGCTTTTATTTACACACATGAATCTAATAAAATAAAAATTCTTATTTTCCAACTTATGTTTTTATCAATAAACAAACAAATGTGCAATTCTCAAATAAAAAATTCTGATTTTCTATTGTTGCATATAATAAGTCTATGAAAGACAATAATTGCCATCACCTAACATGAGAGGAAATTAAAATTAAAATTCTCAAGTCTTTGAAGAGATTGATTAATTGGCACATTTAGTTCAATTTGATCAATTTTTTATTATAAATGATAAGCACAAGTGCAAACAGTAGTAAAAATAATATACAAGTCCTTGTGCTTGAATTGACTTGGTTCATTCATTGAAATGACTGACTCGAGGCTTAGGTTTTGTTTGGGATAGATTTCTTACTGCTTTGCACAATAACTCTCTAGTACAATTTTTTTTTTAAAGCTGAAAAAAAATAATGATAAAAAACTTTCCCTAACAAAGCGTTAGTTTTGCAATTTGCAAGCACATATGCTAGAAGAATACTCTTTTCTGATTTTTATTAAGAGTAAAGTTTCGTTTGAGAGAACTTTCTTAATGTTTTCTAAAGCAGCTTTTTAGTATAAAATTTTGTTGAACTAAAAATTTATATACTAAAAAAATTGCTTTGAAAGTAATAAGAAAGCGGTCCTAAATGTAAGTTCCTCCCATGGAGCCGAGGAATCAAACAAGAAACAACTGTGCAGGTTCAATTGTCTCTTTACAAATAGAAAGCAACAAAGGAAAACAAACGAAAAGTATACAGCCCAGGCCTAAATAATGACGAAACTGTAGGTTTGTAATACCAAACAATAGAAAACAAGAGCTACAGTTTGATCTAACGAGATCTACACAAAATCATATAAATTTAATTGCATTGCGTTGATATGGATCTGATTATCGAGTAGCAAAGTAGTCCTTGAGAGCGAGAGATTATTTGCGTGGACTCCGAATGCAGCTCTACATCAGGATATCAATCAGAATGAGTGACGCAGCGATACCGAGCCTCGGTACAGAGCGGTACTAAGCCGCAAGCTTAGGTATCCTGATGGGGTTTGGCTTCCGCACAGAATAATTTTTCCCGGAGATGACAGCATATATGAGAATGTTAAACCAGATGAATCACAATTTTAATTGCTTTTATTCTGGATTTTAGCCACAGAAAAAGGACTTCGTCTAGGTTAGTTTATGGTGAGAAATGATTTCTACTATTTATGATAGATATCCATACTGAGCCTCGGTTGTCTTCACCTAATTTCACCAATCTTCACCTCAGTGTTTATTTGATTATTCAATATCACTTGTGCCCAATAAAACCAAAGAAATGCTAAACTTTACTGAGCAGCTGCCTTTGTAGCAGTTGATATGCCACATTTTAAATCTGCAAATTAATAGCCAGTTCTTCATATGACACGTCTTACTTTTCATCTTTGGCTTACTCAAAAATGCTATATATATGTGTGTCTGTGTGTGATGACAAGTCTAATCTGATGCAAATTGGAAAGCCAAAGGATTTGCTATTATGGGATTGTAGCAGAGTTCTCAAGTGTGATTTTTCATTTCTGGGACTGTTGCAACGTGACTTCTACAGCTTTTTCTATGGACTGTAGCAATAGTTGAGCAACAGTTTTTTTTTTTTTTTGTAGTTATCAAGCCTTTATGGTGGCCATTAAAAGAGAAGCATAATACTAAGTTAAGTGTTATAGAGATGAGGATGATCAGGTGGATGAGTGGCTTTATCATTGGAGATAGGATATGAAATGAGCATATACGTGAAAAGGTTGGAGTAGCTCCAATGGAAGATAAAATTAGAGAGAGTCGCCTTAGATGGTTTGGTCACATAAAACGGCGGCCTTCCGATGATCCGATTAGGAAAGTAGAAGTATTAGATTTGACTTATGTTAAGAAAGATAGAGGTATACCTAAAAAGACTTGGTTTAGAAATGATCTTTCTTTATTAGATTTAAGTGATCAGAATTTGACTTTTAATATGATACAATGGAGAAAACGGATTCATGTAGCCGACCCTACGTAGTGGGATAAAGGCTTAAAGTTGTTGTTGTAGTTATCACACTTCTGCATATCTGATTATAAAAAACTCGTTCTCAAACGCACTGCAAATAATATAAACAGTGATGTAAATATTGATATGCAAAATAAAGTTGTAAAGATTTTACTCGAAATATGATATAATACTATTAAACTTAATTTAAAAACAATCTTAATCATTCAAATTAAAATTTAAGATAATATAATGCCATAAGATTAGATGTTTATTAAGATAAGACTAAACATATTGAAGATGATTGCAACGATGTTTGATGAGTGATAGTAAAAAAGAACCAGCTGATAAACTAACTGAATTCCATGGATCATTTTCTTCATAACTGCAAAAACTACTAACTTCTGCTTCTTTCTTCCATTAAGCTCACTTCAATGGATTTATCAATTTGGAAGAGGCAGGCCTAGCATGAAGACTGAAAGCCACTTAGAATAGCCAAGGAAACTTGCCATTGAACAACATCAGAAACATCTGAAAAATACTGCAAAAATAAAAAAAAATCACGACTATTTTACATTGAAATCTGTGTTCTTTCCACTATAAATCTCTATCAACAACAATTGAGGCTTCAGAATACAGATCTCAATATCAAAAAAAATCTGTAGAATTTCTTTTCTGAGACAACTGAAAAATTCTTCAGATGGCTCTAATGAGTACAAAGGCAAGTCATCCTTGGCTACCAAAGAATGGCTCTCATCTTCATGTAAGACCTCTCTTCCACTCCAATCTTCTTCTGCTGTGATGTTTATTGCCTGCTCTCCATGACTGATCTATTTATAGGCCTGAAATCCACTTGATTTATATTTTTATATTCTAGCAATCTTGTTATGGGACCATAGCAGTACTCTCTCAATCTTTTTTTTTTTACACTTTTCTTTCTCTCATGGAAGAAGAAGCATA